TATTGGGATTTTTTTCTGAGCAGCTCCCTCCATAGGAACCATCTGTGAGAATTAGGGCTTTCGGACTTTCCCTCCTTCTCCTGGCTTGAGACTCTTTTGACTTTGCACAGGTACTGTTTTGAATTCAGCCTATTAAGGAAAATGATCCGGGCTCGGTGGCTCAGCCTGTAATCCCGCACCTTGAGAGGCTGAGGTAAGTGAATTGCCTGAGCCCGTGGGTTCGAGACCCGCCTGGGCAACTTGGTGAGACTTCATCTCTACAAAAAATCATCCAGGCATAGTAGCGCATGCCTGTAATTCCGGCTACTCAGAAGGCTGAGGCGGAAGGACCGCCAGAGCCCAGCAGGTCAAGGCTGCGGTAGCCGGGAGCGGCCACTGCACTCCAGTCTGGGTGACAGAGTGAGACTCCAACTCAAAAAAAAAAAAGAAAATGAGTTACGTATCCAAAAGTGGGGCTCCTGATGCTGTTGAGATGGAAAAACTGCAGTGAGGACAAGGGAGGCCCATGTGGACATGGAAATGCTACTTTTCTTCTTAGGATTAAATGATAGTGAAGGCTTTAACTAACTGAAACTCTAAGTGATTAGTTGGGAAATGTTCTTATGGACCTTAGTCTACAGGGCTAGGCAGGTGACAGAAATGGTAGTCATCTGTCACTAAAGCATCATGTATGTCGTCACATAAGCACGCTCTTCTTTTTAAATTTTGTGTGTGTGTGTGTATGTGTGTGTCAATGAGATCATGCTGTGTTGCCTAGTCTGGTCTTGGATCCTGAACTGAAGCAGTCCTCTCTCCTGCTTTTTAAACGTTGGCAGCTAATTTAAAAAAAAAAATTTTTTTTTGAGTTGGAGTTCCACTCCATTACCCAGCGTGCAGTGGCATGCTCATGGCCACCCCAGCATCAACCTGCTGGTCTCCAGTGATCCTTCTGCCTCAGTCTTCCAAGTAGCTGAAACTATAGGCGCTTGCTACCACACCTAGCTAATTTTTTATTTATTGTAGAGACGCGGTCTCGCCAAGTTGCCCAGGCTGGTCTCGAACCTGCGGGCTCAGGCAGTCCACTTGCCTCGGCCTCCCAAAGTGCTGGGATGCTAGGCCGAGCCACTGAGCCTGGCCCAAATGTTTTAAAGAGCGGTGCAGAGGGGAAACAATTTGTACTTGCAGGCCAGATGTACCTGCTAGCCACCACTTTACAGCCTCTAGTCTAACTCACTAAGCCTGTAACTTCTCTGATAAAATGAGTCAATGTTTTCTGGGTGCTGAATGTGAACAAGGTGCTGTGTACCAAGTACTTTGAAATGTATGATACAGATCAGAAACTGTCACAATAATTTTTATTAAATCATAGCATCAGAGAATGTTGGAATTGGAAAGGAACCTAGAAATATCTAACGTTTACCAAGTCATGGTGTAGGTGTGCTGATTTTTGGTGATTACTACTTGTAAACAGTTTGTATTTTAATAGTTATTTTAACATGCATTTAGAAAATATAATGAGCATTTAAAATCTGCTATTTTGTGGATTCTGTTGCTTAAGGTGTTCTCATTTACAGAGCACTGTTAAATAAATACATTCGGGCATTGCTTTAACAGTGGGGATATGTTCTGAGAAATATGTTGTTAGCTGATTTTGTTGTTGTACAAAAGAACATCTTGACTTATACTTACACAAATCTAGATGGTACAACCTATTGCACATCTAGGATATGTGATCTAGCCTTTGCTTCAAGGCTACAAATCTGCACAAGGTCTGCATGTCATTGTCTTAAAGACTGTAGGTAATGGTAATGGTAATGGTAAGGATTTGGGCATCTAGATGTAGAAAAAATACAGTGAAAATACGGTATAAATGACTTTAAAAAATGACCCGCCTGTGTAGGACACTTGCCGTGAATGGAGCTTGCAGGACTGGAAGTTGCTCTGAGTGAGTCAGTGAGTGGGGATTGAGTGTGAAGGCATGAAGCTTGACTGTGCACTGCTGTGGACTTTATAAACACTGTACACTTGGGCTGCACCAAATGTATAACAATTTTTTCTTCATTAATAAATTTTCAGTTACTATAACTTTTACTTTGTAGACAGTCAATTTTTTTAAAACTTTTTTTGGTTTTTTTTTGTTTGTGTCAGGGTCTCTCTTTGTCATCCAGTCTGGAGTACAGTGGCACAATCTTGGCTCATCGTAACCTCAACCTCCTGGATTCAAAAGATCCTCCCACCTCAGCCCCTTGAGTAACTGGGACTACAGGCATGTACCACTACACCTGGCTAATTTTTTAATTTTTTTGTAGCGATGAGGTCTCACTATGTTGCCTGTGCTAATCTGAAACTCCTGGGCTCAAGCAGTCCTCCTACCTTGGTCTTCCAAAGTGCTGGACTTAACAGGCGTTAGTCACCACACCCAGCCAACTTTTTGACTCTTGTAATACACTTGGCTTAAAACAGACACTCTGAGCCAGACCCAGTGACTCACGCCTGTAATCCCAGCACTTTGGGAGGCTGAGTGGGTGGATTGCTAGAGCCCAGAATTTGAGACCAGCCTGGATAACATAGTGAGACCTCATCTCTAAAAAAAAAATCCAAAAATTAGCTGGGCATGATGGCATGTATCTGTAGTCCCACTACTCGGGACACTGAGGCAGAAGGATTGCCTGAGCCCAGGGAGTTGAGGGTGCTGTGAGCCGTGATCATGCCACATCACTCCAGCCTGGGGGACAGAGTGAAACTTGGACTCACAAAAAAGAAAACAAACACATTATACAGCTGTACAAAAAACTTTTAAAAATATTCTTATTCTGTAAGCTTTTTTTCTATTTTTAAAATATATTTAACTTTTTAAACATTTTTGTTGAAAAGCTAAGTCACAGGCCAGGTGCAGTGGCTCATGCCTGTAATCCCAGCACTTGGGGAGGCCAAAGTGAGAGGATTGGGTTCAAGACCAGCCTGGGCAACATGGCAAGACCTCATCTCTACAATAAATCAAGAAAAATTAGCCGGGCATGATAATGCATGCCTGTAGTTCCAGCTACTTGGAAGGCTAAGGTGGAAAGATTGCCTGAGCCCAGCAGGTGGAGGCTGCAATGGCCATGAACATGCCACTGCACTCCAGCCTGGGCGATAGAGTGAGACTCTGACACACACACAAAAAAACCCCACAAACACACAGATTAACCTAGGCCTACACAGGATCAGGATCATCATTATCACTGTCTTTTACCTCCACATATTGTCCCACTGGAAGGTCTTCAGGATAATAACATGCATAGAGGTGTCATGACCTGTGGTAACAATGCCTTCTTTTGGAGTATCTCCCGAAGGACCTGCCTGAGGCAGTTTCACAGTTAACTTTTTTTTAATAAGTAGAAGTGTACTGTAAAATAGCAATAAAAAGTATTATAAATAGATAAACCAGTAGCATAGTCATTTACTATCATTGTCAAATATTATGTACTGTACATAATTGCATGTATGACCAAACCGCTGACAGCACAGTAGGTTTGTTTACACCAACATCACCACAGAGGTGAGTAATAAGTTACATGAGGATATTAGGGTGGCTATGATGTCACTAGACTATAGTGTCATGAGGTGATAGGCATTTTTCAACTTCATTGTAATCCTATGGGATGGCTATGTATATGTGGCTCATCATTGACCAAAATGTTGTTATGTGGTGTGTGACTATATATTTCATGCTTGTAATAATGTGTAATGATATAGTAGTGCATGAATATGGCAGAAATTATGAGGGTGGTATGAGACTGGCATTTGGGTAATGCTGACCTAAATCACCCTTTTTAGATGAAGAAGTGAGTTTAGGAGATGTGATTTTGGCTGGAAAGCTTTCTAATTTCAATTCAGATTCTTTTTTGCCTTCTAAGAAAAGTCGGCCTGTAATCCTGCGCCTTTGGGAGTGAGGTGAGTGGATTGCCTGAGCCCACGGGTTCGAGACCCGCCTGGGCAGCGAGACCTCATCTCTACAATAAATCAAAAAATCAGCCGGGCGTGGTAGCGCATGCCTATAATTCTGGCTACTCGGAAGGCTGAGGAGGAAGGATCGCCGGAGCCCAGCAGGTCGAGGCTGTGGTGGCTAGAAGCGGCCACTGCACTCCAGTCTGGGTGACAGAGTGAGACTCCAACTAAAAAAAAAAAGGAAAAGCATATAGCATCAGTATTTCCCCCATAAACCTACTTAGCTGTTGGGATAGTTACGTGCTCAATGAAAATGAAAATATTTAGTGCCACTGTCTAGGACTTTATGGAATGAGCACAGAACTCAAAGCAGAGTAGCTGAGTGGAGAGTCCTCATTATCAAAGAGAAGACGAGTTATTTTGGTTTCGTTTATTTAAAGTAATGGCCATTTTGGTCAATGTGATGTTTTACAAATCAGTAGTGTCTACTAAACATCTCGTCAAGAGCTGTTGATTTTAGAAACTTTTCCCCATAACTAGTTTTCTAAAACGTAAGAGGTACTGAACCTCTTCTGTTTAAAGTTAACATTTTACAGTATAATTTCATTTAAAATTTAGTAAGTCCCCAACTATCATGTTGGAAAGCCAGGTTCTGGGCTTATAGTGTCAGGAAGCAAAGCAGCAAAGGCCTGCTTATACCGAGGCTCCCTGGTGCCTGAGGCGGAGGCACGAGAGAAAGCTCCATGTTTTGTTCTTCCAGGAACCATAGCTGGTAGAATCCTGCTGCTGCCTCAAGTTGGGAGTGGTGAGAGGGCCCTGGGCAGAGCAGCTGGGCCTTGGGAAAAAGAGAGAACAAGGCATTGGGGTTTAGTTTTCCAGAGAGGAAAGCTCAAAAGCAGAACAGATACTGCCTTGGGTCTTCCAGACATCTATAAGCTGTCTTCTGTTGGCATGGTCACATGTGGTCTTGGAAGTACTTACTTGCACCTTTTGCCTTCTGAAACATGACTTCTCATACGTTCTTTCTCCCCTGTCCTTTGTTTTCCTGGAAATGCCTGGGTGTGCATTTATGTATTTGTATGTGTGTGTAGGGACTGATGACGGCGCCCAGGAGGTGGTGAAGGACATTTTAGAAGATGTAGTCACGTCTGCTGTTAAAGGTAAGAACCAAGGACAACCCAGCCTTTCCTCTTACCTCCTTCCTCGAAAAAAGCCTTCAGCCAAGTATTTCACTGGTAGAGTTCCTGCCTCCCTGCCCCGTGAACTCATGGAGCTCATGGAAACTGAGTCAGCCCATGTGTTCCCATCTTGTGGGATTCAGCAGTTACTAATTTTTTTTGAGTTGGAGTCTCACTCTGTCGCCCAGACTGGAGTGCAGTGGCATGCTCATGGCCACCCCAGCATCGACCTGCTGGACTCCGGCGATCCTTCCACCTCAGCCTTCCAAGTAGCCAGAACTACAGACGCGTGCTACCGTGCCCAGCTAATTTTTTATTTATTGTAGAGACGAGGTCTCACCAAGTTGCCTGGGCTGGTCTCAAACCTGCGGGCTCAGGCAATCCACTCTCCTCAGCAATGATTTTTTTTAGTGACTGATTTTTATTCTCTTTTGAGTAGGGGTCAGTGAACACAATCTGACCGTGTTAGGCTTTGGTGCTCCATGTGGAGACACAGAGAACTACTTCTAGATTAGGGGTGCCCAGGGTTTTTCTAAGAGTAGGCTCTGAGCCCTGAAGTCCATGTTCATTGCTACAGAGTTTTCATAGCCAGCCTTTGATGTGTTGTGGGGACAGTCCACATGTAACAGGTGTCGGGTGTCCAGGAAAACCTTATTCATTTTGTTAGACTTCATTAGTCCCTTAGTTTCATGGTATGGTTTCATTGGAATTGAGATTCGTATAGTTCAGGCTGAGTGCAGTGGCTCACACCTATAATCCCAGCAATTAGGGAGTCAGAGATGAGAGGATTGCCTGAGCTCAGGTATTCGAAACTGGCCTGGGCAACTTGCAATAAATAAAAAAGTTAGCCAGGCATGGTAGTGCGCACCTGTAGTTCCAGCTATTAGGAAGGCAGAGAGGGTAGAAGGATTGCCTGAGCCCAGCAGGTTGAGGCAGCAGTGGCTGTGAGTGTGCCACTGCGCTCCAGCCTAGGTGACAGAGTGAGACTCCGGCTCAAAACAGCAACAACAACAAAACACCAAAACTTGTATAGTTCAGAATGAATTTGAAATGATTTTTTGTTTTTGTTTTTGTTTTTATCTAAGATCTCAGGTCAGTGGTTGTGTGTTGAACATTCAGTTTCAGTGCCAATAAACCATTAATTGGTAGAGAAATAGAACATTTAGTGAATTACAGCCTAGTACAGTGGTTCACACCTGTGGTCCCAGCACTTTGGGAGGCCAAGGCAGGATGATCACTTGAGGATAGAAGTTCAAGACCAGCCTGGGCAAATACTGAGACCTTGTCTCTAAAAAAAAATCTAAAAATTCAGCCAAGTGTGGTGGCATGTACCTATAGCTCTTATAACTTGAGGGACTGAGGTGAGAGGGTCACAAGCCCAGCAGGTTGAGGCTGTGGTGGTCATGTGTGTGCTACTGTACTCCAGCTTGAGCAACAGAATGAGATCGTCTGTTAAAAATAAATAAATGTGGTGAGTTGCGGTCAGCATTTTTTTTTAATGAAAGAGAATAAAATAAAATAGTACAGACAGTCTGACTGCAACACATTTATGAAATGTGTTTCACTTGCTTGTGTGTACATGTCTGTATTGGGACACAAAACTGTAAACATTAATTTCTTACTGAGGTCATGATTTGAAAGCCACTTCTCTAAGTCCTAAGGCTATATGTAGATTCTGTTTCTTTCCTTGTTTTTTTGAGTTGGAGTCTCACTCTTGTTGCCTAGGCTGGAGTGCAGTAGCATGCTCACAGCCACTGCTGCCTCGACCTACTGGGCTTAGGCAATCCTTCCGCCTCAGCCTTTCAAGTAACTGGAACTACAGACACACACCACATGCCTGGCTAGTTTTTGTGATTTATTGTAGAGGTGAGGTCTCACCAAGTTGCCCAGGCTGGTCTCGAACCTATGGGCTCTGGCAGTCCTCTAGCCTCGGCCTCCCAAAGTGCTGGGATTATAGGCTGACCCACCATGCCCGACCAGTTCTGTTATTTTTTTAGTTTCTTGTGGAAATGTCTTTGAAATAGGATCATTTTATTTCATACATTTAGATTTGCTTCTGGGATATATAAAAGTTATTATATGCTGGGCACAGTGGCTCATGCCTATAATCCTAACACTTTGGGAGGCCGAGACGAGAGGATTGCCTGAACCCAGGGGTTCAAGCCCAGCCTGGGCAACTTGGTGAGACCTCCTCTCTACAGTAAAACAAAAAATTAGCCAGGCGTGGTGGCACGTGTCTATTGTTCCTGCTACTTGGAAGTCTGAGGCAGAAGGATCACCTGAACCCAGCAGGTCAAGGCTGCAGTGGCCATAAGCATGCCACTGCACTCCAGCCTGGGTGGCAGAGTGAGACTCCAACTCAAAAAAAGAAAAAAAAAACAGAAAAAGTTATTACGTAGTGATTATCTTGGTCACTTTTGTGTTCTCCAGCCCTTACCACAGAGCCTGGCATGTAATAGGCACTTGATAAATACTTATTGAATGAATATATGCATCGTAAACCTTTTGAAAATTGTGCTTATTCAGTTGTTCGATGTGCTTTCTATAAAGATGCACGTGATAAGTTTTTCTTAGAGTTCTGTTGGTATGCTGATCATCAGATATGCTTTCCTTCATTGAATGATGAAATCTAGTTAACTTTTTCTTTGAACTCTTTCCCTTTTTTCACATGGCTCCTAGAAAGCTCAGGTTTACATTTTTCCTATAACTAAAGTTTTCTGTCGTAACTGGCTGTCCTCTGATTCCTGTATTGTCCATTTAAAAAAAATCTGTGCTTTTCATGCTTAGCTGCTTCTCATCTTTTTCAGAAGTGGGCAGGGTAGACAGGGCTGATGCATTGCATAATCCTGGGGGCACCATTGACATGGGTTGTAATTTGAATGAAGCCCCTGGGGTGAATTGTACACTGCTGTGGTCCTGCCAGTGGGGCTGTGGATGACAGATACTCGTAGAGCTACAGCGTCACTCTGGCCTGCGCTTCTCTGTAGTATGTCAGCAGTGAGTCAGTGTCACAAGAAAAGGAGGGACAAGCAAAGCTGGGAGGTTACGGGAGTAACATTTTTTTGGTTGTTAGGCAGTCTCCTGGGATAAGTAAGTACGGTACTAATTTGGGGCTATGACTTTGCACTTATGTTTTAAGAAGCGGCAGAAAAACATGGTCTGACAGAACCTGCGAGGGTTCTGGACGAACTGGAGTGCCAGGAATGTGCTGTTCCCCCAGGAGTTGATGAAAACTCACAGACCAATGGGATAGCGGATGACAGGCAGTCCTTGTCGTCGGCGGATAATCTGGTATGTCAGTGATCATCCTGCACAGATTCATTGCAGTCTTACTTTTTCAAACAATGCAGATTGAAATCTTTTATCAAAAGAAGCATTAAAATAAGCAAGTTCAGTTCAGTTGTTAGTCACACAGTCCTGGCCTGATGCTCTTTATATTAGCAGGTTCAGTTTTTGGAATGTGCTAATGGTGGTTGTATATAGCTTACTGAGACTTCTAAAATCTTAAATTTCCTGCTATTTTTCTTCTGTCTCAAATAGTATACATTTGTTATAAAAAATAAGAAAATATATAATTCCCACTGGGCATGGTGGCTCATCCAGCACTTTGGGAGGCCAAGGTAGGAGGATTACTTGAGTCCAGGAGTTTGAGACCAGCCTAGGCAACATAGCAAGACCCTGTCTCTACAAAAAAATTTAAAAATTAGTTAGATGTGGTGGCACACACCTGTAGTCTCAGCTACTCGGAAGGCTGAGGTGGAAGAATCCCCTGAGCCCAGGAGGTTGATGCTGCGGTGAACTGTGATTACACCATTGCACTCCAACCTGGGTGACAGAATGAGACTCTGACTCCAGAAAGAAAGAGAGAGAGAGAGAGAGAGAGAAGGAGAGAGGGAGAGAGAGAGGAGAGAGGGAGAGAGGGAGAAGAAGAGAGGGAGAGGGAGAGGAGGAGGGAGAGGGAGAGAGGGGAGGGAGGGAGGGAGAGGAGGGAAAGGAAAGGAAAGGAAGGAAGGAAAGGAATCTATAGAAGGAATTCATTTTTTACTAGGCTGTGATTGCTTGGTTCAGCACTAGGGCATGGACATCTCTTCGTATCAGTACATACATATCCAACTAAATTTTTTCATGACCATGTAAAGTTGTATATGGATTGACCGTAATCTATTAACCAAGTCCCCATTAGGGATGATGCTTCTAGTTTTATCACAGGAAACAATTCTATAATGAATATCCTTGTAGATAAATCTTGTGCCCATCCTTAATTCTTTCTTAAGTATAAATTCCTACACGTGGTATTGCTGGGTCAAAGGTTTGCAGCTTTAGGCTTTTGATCCTGAACACCAAGTTAGTCTTCTGGGAAGGTATTGCTTGAATTCCTGCCCACTTATAGGCTCTCAATGCCCATTTTCCAATCCCTTATTAAAACTGGGCAGTAGCATTCATCCACATCTTTGCTAGTCTGACAGGAGAAATAGCCTACTTTAATGGTCAGTAATAAGGGCATTTTGGTTTGTTTTATTTGTCCTTTTCATTTCTTGGTGAATTTCTTATCCATGTTTTTTTGCCTGTTTTTCATTTGAGAGAAGGGTTTCCATAGTTCCTTAATGAATTATAAGAACTTTTGTATGTTGAAGATATTAGTCTTTGTTATATGTTACAAATGTATATATATATTTTTTTGAGTTGGAGTCTCACTCTGTCACCCAGACTGGGCTGCTGGGCTCCGGCAATCCTTCCGCCTCAGCTTTCCAAGTAACTGGAACTACAGGTGCGCACTACCACGCCTGGCTAATTTTTGATTTATTGTAGAGATGAGGTCTCGCCAAGTTGCCCAGGTGGATTTTGCACCCGCAGGCTCAGGCAATCCACTCACCTCGGCCTCCCAAAGTGCTGGGATTACAGGCTGAGCCACTGAGCCCGCCCGTTACAAATATTTTTTATTTGCATGTTTTATTTTTATTACACTTTACCTTTTTAGATAAAGTAGTTTATTTTTTAGTGCCTATCATTTCTTTCCCATTTATCCTACAACAGGATATAACAAATACCTTTCTTACCCTTGCTAATAAAATCACCTATATTTGTCTTAATTTTTTTAATGGTTAGACTTTTGATCATTAATTATTTTAAACCACTTCTACCAGCTGTTTGAAGGACAAGAGCCAAGGTTGCTGTAATGACTTTCATAGTTTCTATTTTGCCGTATATTCCCCTTCCCAATACCCCCCACCTCCCTTTTGAGTAAACAAGTTAACTGTTGGTAGCATAATCGCCATAGGATAATTACATTTCTTATTTTTGACAAGAGTTATTCCTTTGTTTTGCCCCTTTGGTTTTTTAAAATCTGTTTCTGATTGTAGGAATCAGATGCTCAAGGACATCAAGTGGCTGCTAGGTTCTCCCACATTTTGCAGAAGGATGCCTTCCTCGTGTTTCGCTCCCTGTGCAAGCTGTCGATGAAGCCCCTTGGGGAAGGCCCTCCCGATCCAAAGTAAGCAGACAGCAGTTCTTGGCCGTCCCAGCCCAATGATCAAGGAACATATGGTACTTCATACTCCCCTGCTTCCAGGAAGTCCCAGTGCTATGTCTCTGTTGTTGTTAGTGCAGTTTATTCAGGGTGGTTTTGCAACTTTTCAAACTCATGCTGTCTCTACAGTCTTTCACATTGAATTGTCTCTGTATCCCCATCAACCAAGATTTTGCCCAGCTTAGCTTTTCTTGGTTTATGTGCTAAAAACAATTAGTGTATTGAACATGCACCCTCTTTGTACTGATAAATGGATTGAATCTCCTGATGCGCAGTGGGGAAGGGTAGGATGTCTGTAAATGTCAGTTACCTGTTTTGTGTGGAAACCTCTGCTTCACAGATTGAGATTTGTTGTTGTTGTTGTTTTTGAGTCAGTCTCACTGTGTCGTCCAGGCTAGAGTTCAGTGGCTCGCTCACAGCCACCCCAGCGTCAACCTGCTGGGCTCAAGTGATCCTTCTGCCTCAGCCTTCCAAGTAACTGGAACTACAGGTGCTCGCTACCACACCCAGCTAATTTTTGATACATTGTAGAGATGAGGTCTCACCAAGTTGCCCAGGCTGATCTCAAACCCCTGGACTCAGGCAGTCTTCTTGCCTTGGCCTCCCAAAGTGCTGGGATTACAGGCTTGAGCCACTGTGTCTGGGCCACAGATACAGATTTAAGCCCCAGGTTCAACATAGGGAAGCCAGATATTTCTTTGTAGTAAACTCTTACATGGATATCAGCACTGTGGAGAGAAGACAGCAGAGGCTTCAGAGCCAGAGAGAGCTGCATTCAGGTCTTGACTCCTCTACTGGAGCAAGCTCTGTGACCGCATGAGTTACCCAATGTCGTCTGAGAAGTGGGGATATGGAAAACACAAAATGATATAGGTGTTGTCCTGAGCACAGGGCCTTGTACTTTATAGTCATATTGTCATTATAATAATCCTCACCTCACCTATTGAGAATGCTGCTAATATTATGATAACCATTAGGAAAATGGTTCATGGAAATTTTCAATTTCTTACCTTCCCTGAGCTCGGGGATGCAGAGTGGGAAGGGAGAGTTGAGGTGAGTGGATACAGAGCACAAACCTCATGGTGAATAAAGATAGACTGGGCCAGGTGTGTCGCCTCATGTGAGTGAAGTAGTCATTGATTGTACCAGTGTGGTGGCAGAACCTGCTTTCCAGAACTAGTTGACACTGCTTTTGCTCCTACTGTATTCTCTGCTTTGCGTTGGGGAGAGACAAAAAGAGTAAGAGTTGGCAGCTCTTGTTCTCAAAGGGCCTGCAGATTCCAGGAGCACCCACCTCATGCCATCTGCCCTCCTCCTGACATTTAAAAGCCATTGCTAATTCTCAGCTCACTGGCTTCTCAGAACATTCCACTCCCTGGTAGAGGAGCAAGTCCTCTTCAAGCAGCCTTCTGTTTTATACTGCATCTTTCAGCCCCGTCATGTTGTTTCATTTTTTCTGCCAGATCCCATGAGCTGCGTTCCAAGGTGGTTTCCCTGCAGCTGCTCCTCTCCGTGTTACAGAATGCTGGCCCAGTGTTCAGGACTCACGAGATGTTTATCAACGCAATCAAGCAATATCTCTGTGTGGCCTTGTCCAAAAATGGTGTCTCGTCAGTGCCTGATGTCTTTGAGCTCTCTCTCGCCATTTTTCTTACTCTTCTTTCGAATTTCAAAATGCACTTGAAAATGCAGATAGAGGTATGAACTCCAAATTTGCTTTTTTGTTTGATGGCATTTATACCAGATGAGTTAACTGTTGGTGGCATACTTACTTAGAACTGCAATTACACTGTCTGCTTGCTGGCACGCCAGCAGCTAGGAACTTTCCAAAGGAGAGAGAAAATACGTTCTTATAAAAAGTTACTGCCCTCAAATCCTGTATGCCTTTTATTTTCACCAAAAGTTTAAAGTATGTGGTCTGTGTGCTGGGCTCAGCACCCCCAACATATTTGTTTGGCCTGTAAATTGTTTGAAATCATTTGAATTAGTTGCCAAATTGAGAAATCCTAGTTTACCTGAAAATTCAGATTTCTAGCTTCTCTCATAAAATCACAATGCCTGCGTTTCCACATGACAGCTCCCTGATGGGCCCCACCCTGCTAGTTGTGCCCAGGAGGCCAAGGTCCCACTGCTGCCAACAGGGTGTGTGTTCCGCTCTTTTCCACCTACCCAGGCTGCCTCACTTATTACAGGACTGGCTGAAGATGTTGTAGTTTCTGAGCCCTAACTGGAACTTAATTGACGTTTTCCTTTGTCTTCATATCATATAGGTCTTTTTCAAGGAGATTTTCCTGAACATTTTAGAAACATCAACAAGTTCTTTTGAGCACAGGTGGATGGTCATTCAGACTCTGACGAGGATCTGTGCAGGTATTTGCACCCTGAGGGCACTCATCCATCAACTTGCTCCTAACCCTTTGGATGCTTTAATCTGCCGAAACTCAGATTAAGACCTTTAACTTCTTTGAGAATATTAATGAAATGTTGGGGATAAAAGGCTGTTTCGGCCTAATGTCTAGTTCTGCTCCTTCTCTTCTTTTGTAGAGAATGACCAGTACAGGCTTGTTTGCCTGGGACTTTCTGGTTTTAGCACCAAAAGTCCCACATCCCAGAACCCCCCCCAATCCTGACAAACTGGGACACTTGGTCATCCTACCTATGAGCTGAGTGTGATTAACAAATCACAGGCCGGGCGAGGTGGCTCACGCCTATAATCCCAGCACTTTGGGAGGCCAAGGTGAGAGGATTGCCTGAGCCCGCAGGTTCGAGACCCGCCTGGGCAACTTGGCGAGACCTCATCTCTACAATAAATCAAAAAATTAGCCAGGCGTGGTGGTATGCACCTGTAGTTCTGGCTACTTGGAAGGCTGAGGCGAAAGGATTACATGAGCCCAGCAGGTCGAAGCTGCAGTGGGTGTGAGCAGCATGCTACTGCACTCCAGCCTGGGCAACAGAGTGAGACTTCGACTCAAAAAAAAAAAAACACACACGGAAAAAAAAAACAAATCACGAGGCCTAGGGTGTTCGTGCTGCAAACTTGATTGGGTGCTCCAGGAAATTTGTATTCACCTTACACCTTACAGTTGTTTTATTTCCAATATAGAATCTTCAAACATTTGTCTGTCATTAAATTTTATTTCATAAAAGTAGCACAACTTAAGAGGTGAATCAGACAATTGTTGGCTACTTTTTTAATGAGAAAAGTGAGCCTTGGAGGGGTGGAATGAAGTCCCTGAAGATTCAGTTACTGCAGAGGCAGGCCTAAAAACATCCATGCCTCCTAACACTTCCTTGAATTTCTGACATACATTTCCTGAATGAGATGTAGCCACCTGAGTCGGTAGTTCACTAGGGAACTTTGTTAGCAAACAAAGTCTTGTTAATAAGAAAATGTGACTGCTGTTTGTCTTTGATCATAATTTCTAATACTGGTGTGTTATTTTCCAAGATGCCCAGTGCGTTGTGGATATTTATGTCAACTACGACTGTGATTTAAATGCTGCTAACATTTTTGAGCGTCTTGTAAATGATTTATCCAAAATTGCTCAGGGAAGAAGTGGACATGAGCTGGGAATGACACCTCTGCAGGTAAAAACACTGGGGACACTCTGTTGTATTTAAAGTTTATTCATTTCAATAAACATTTATCAAGTGTCACACTGTGTGCTAGGCACCATCCTCAATGTGGGGGATACAGCAGTGAATAAAACAGAGGTACGTGTGCACACACACACTTCCTGCCATCATGAAATGACAATAAAGAAGTCAGCTGCCAGGTGAAAAGTAAAGCAGGGCCAGCAGAGAGGAAGTGCCGGAGGGGGTGTTGCAATTCTCCGTGGGTCACCAGGGTAGTATCCTTGAGAAGGTGACGTTTGAGCTGAGGCCTATAGGAACCGAGTTCATGCTTAGTCCCCTTTTGAAAGAATCTGTGGAAAACAGAATCCTAGTGTCCACCACAGGCAGTGAAGATCGCCAGTTATTAGCAGATTGCCTTATTATTAGAGTGCCTACAAAGAAGATAGGATCCTTCACTTATGGTCTCTGGTCATTCAGGGTCTATGAGCCCCTGGAATTGTGTAGAATTTTGGCATATGGACATTTTTCCTATGAAAGTCATAGTTGTCATTAGAATCACAGAGAGATCTATGATGTCTGAGATGCCATTTTGAATCTAAAACATTTGCATTTTTTAGATTATCTGCAGCTCATATTCAATTTCTTATTTAAGAAATGCTACATTTATTTCTTTGGTTAGAGTCAAAATCTGAAGTGCAGTGACATTATCAGAGCTCACTGCAGCCTCAAGCTCTAGGGCTCAGGCAGTTCTTTTGCCTCAGCCTTCCGGGTAGCAGGGACTACAGTCGCGTGCCACCATGTCCAGCTAATTTTTTTTATTTTTTGTAGAGACAAGGTCTCACTTCATTGCCCAGGCTGGTTTCAAACTCCTGGGCTTAAGTAATCCACTCATCTCAGCCTCCCAAAGTTTTGGGACTATAGTTGTGAGCCACTGTGCCCAGCCTTATTTTTAAAAATTAGTATTTTTATTAACTTAGAGGGTGAACATTAAAATGGAATGCATCTCTGGGTACTTAAGGAATAACTCACCCACAGTCAGGATCCAGATTCTCATTTACTTCATAATTCAAGATTCTTGTCTTCTTTTTTCAGGGTCATTGGTTAAGATTCTATTATTTTAAAAAATAAATTTTTTATGTTTAAAAAATTTACTTAAGCAGTAAATGACAACTTTTTAATAATCCAAATAACATTGTTCATTTTAGCAGAGCACATCCCATGTTTTTGCTGCTGTGAAGTTTGTTATGAACACCTATAGAGATATCCAGGCTTTTTGCAACGTGTTCTTAATACTTGTGTCGCCTGTTAACTTCTCCGTGGGTTTGTTTTATCCTGAATAGCACCAAATGTCAGGGATTATCTTGTATCCTCACAGGAGTCCCTAGAGTCCTGTAGGTGTCTGTTCTCTTAATTGTTCTGCTAAGTGTCTATACTGTGTCACTGTGTCCTTCAGGAGCTCAGCCTGAGGAAGAAAGGCCTGGAGTGCCTCGTGTCCATTCTCAAATGCATGGTGGAGTGGAGCAAAGACCTGTATGTGAACCCCAACCACCAGGCCAGCCTTGGTGAGTGGTTGCTGCCATTCTGCTTGCATTCATCACAGGCTGCCAGAAGAGTTGTCTTAGTGTGGTTATCTTTACTCTCCCAAAGAAGATAAGGATAAAATGAAAGAAAAGGAGTTTGCTAAATACCTGTAGTATTGTAAAGTTCTGCTTTTTAATCTGTCTGGAATTTGGGGGGAAGAGTGTGAAGTTGTACCCTAGCTTTATTGCTCCTGATGGAGAACCAATTGTTCCAACATTTTTTTAGTAGTCCCTCCTTCTCTCACTGATTTGAGGCATCACCTTTATGATATACCAAATTCTCCCTCATCTGTTAGTCTGTTTCTGGATTTTCCTATTCTGTTCTGTTGATATGTTGATTCTTGCACCAGTACTGTACTTTTCAGACTATTAGAGTTGTATAAATTTTGGTACTTTGCAGAGTAAGTCCTCCTATTCATTGTTTTTTAAGTGTTTTGACTGTTTTTACTTCTCTTACTCTTTCATGTGAATTTTATAATTAGCTCATCAAGTTCCATGAAAAAATAAGTTTTAGGTAAAGCATCTGAGTGATACTAAGGCTTCATGCTTATGATCCTCATAGTACGAACTTGCTGCTCAGGTCTGTGCCTGAGCAGTCTTTTTCTGGGAAGGTCTTTCTGGGAAAGAGATTGTGAGGCCAGACCTAGCTCTGACATGTCTGTGTCCCATCTGCTTGTTTGGTTTCCGTTGCTTTTATGTCACTACAGGTCAGGAGAGGCTCACGGATCAGGAAATGGGGGATGGGAAAGGCCTTGACATGGTAAGAAGGAGCAGCGTGACATCCATGGAGTCCACGGTGTCCTCGGGGACCCAGACAGCTGTTCAGGATGACCCAGAGCAGTTTGAGGTCATCAAGCAACAAAAGGAAATCATCGAACATGGCATCGAGCTGTGAGTGTGGCTGCCACTCTAGCAGAATCTCTTGGGGCCTCTGATAAAGCCTTGTTTTTCTCTGGGAACCTGGGACTGACTCCTAGAGGGGAAAGGCCTGTTCCCAAAGGTTCATGCTGCCACTTGTAGCAGAGCCTGCTTGAGTCAGAGTGAGTGCATGAGCGTGCATGCACACATGGGAGAGAGAAAACTTAAATACCTTTGTGTGGTTGATGCAGCCTTTTTTTCCCTTCCCTGATGAAAATGATAAAACCAATTGGAAAATACCCAAAAAGTGTAATTTATGTATATATTTTCTGAACCATTTGAAAGTGATTTGTAGCCATCATGATACTTCAACCATACATCTCTGAAAAATAAGGACGTTCTCCTGTATAACCACAGCAGCAGCATCATAATCGCTGGTAAATCATTGTGTTTCTTTCCAGTTTTTTACACACATAAACATGCACATAATTTTATACCCTATCCAGCTTTTTTTTTTTGAGTTGGAGTCTCACTCCGTCGCCCAGGCTGGAGTGCAGTGACACAATCACCATCACTCCAGCCTCGACCTGCTGGGTTCTGGCGATCCTTCTGCCTCAGCCTTCCAAGTAGCCAGAACTACAGGCGCGCGCTACCACATCCAGCTAATTTTTAAAAAAATTTATTGTAGAGACGAGGTCTCGCCAAGTTGCCCGGATAGGTCTCAAACCTGTGGGCTCAGGCAGTCCACTCGCCTCAGCCTCCCAAAGTGCTGGGATTATAGGCTGAGCCACCAAGCCTGGCCCTGTCCAACTTTTTAATGATTAGTTAACTTATGAAATTAAGTTTAAGAGTTGAAGTTACAGTGCTCATTAATTGAAGTACTAGTGTCATTTTTACTCTTACCAGCTAAAGATTACTTAGAGGTGGGCCCAGTGTGTTCTCCCCACAACAGCAAAAGTAATCTTTTAAAAACATAAATCAAATCATGCACTCCCTGACCTAAAATCCTTCCATGTTTCTTGCTCCTGCAGTGTGGTGTGACCTGGCCTCTGACTTCCCTCACTGACCTTACCTCCCACCAATACCCCTGAGTCACACAACACATTTTCAGTCCCTTGAACACCTCTAACTCTTTTTGCCATGGTCACTCTGCTTGGAAGAACCTTTGCTTTTTTTCATCCCCCAGACTTGGTAAAACATCTCTTCTTCAATCCTCCTGTGGCTGCACTGCCTGAACAGGTCCTGAGTTAGTCTCTGTCCTTGCCCCTGTTCATGTCTTTCACGGTCCCTACCAGTTTGTGCTTGCACAGTTCATGGATATCACTCCAGTGTAGGCCTGGTAGATAATAAGTTAAATCTATACATGGTTTAATTTTGTCTCCCTTTAACAAGAAGTACTAGGCTGGGTGCAGTGGCTCATGCCTGTAATCCCAGCACTTTTGGAGGCAGAGGTGAGAGCCTGGGCAACATGATGAGACCTCATCTCTACAATAAATATTTTTTTTTTTTTTTTTTTTTTT